ATGCATACTGGGCGCATCCAAGGCTGTGCGGAGCAGCAGCCGATGGCGGAGACACGTCGAAGCGTGGGTGGGCCACGCCGGACTGCCCGTCAAAGCGTGCGCTCGGACATGCTGCGAATTGAAAAGCCTCGGTGCGTTGCGACTGGTGTGCTGGGCGGAAGAAGGCACCGGAGAAAGACGCCGCGGGTGCGCGTGCTGAAACGCCGCTCTCGTAAGACGCGTAGAGGGCCGGCGATCCGCTCCAAGTCACCCAAGGACTCCGCTGCAAGCAACTGCAACGCACCATCGAAGCGAGTCGAACTTTGATCCTCGTGCGCTTGACACGCTCGGCACTCGAGGCTGGGGTGCTGACGCTCGGCGCCCAGTGCACGCGACCGATGTAGGGAAAGCACCTGGACCATGTAGGCTGAGCTACTGTATGAGCAGGCGCTGCAATTGGTCTGCACCGTAAAGTTACACTGCGGAAGCCATCCGATGCTGAGCGATCAGAGGCATGGACCAGTGCGGAAAGCTGGACGGCAGTGTACGGCGCTTTGCGGCTGTTGCGTGAGATCGCGCAAGGAGTTGCGGATGAGTAGACGGTACTGAGCGCCAAACGGCGGCTCTGATTCGTGCGTCTTGGCGGCGGACATCCGAACGGGCCTGCAGCGTAGCCGGTGGCAGGTGGCAGGTGGCAGCGTGGCAGAGAGAGGCAGCGTCGATCGTTTCGAGCTTCCTGCGCATCCCAGCCGCACAGCCCCACTGGACGGCCGCCATCCGATGCGGTAACGCTCGTCTGCACTGTCGGAACATCAGCGCCAGTCGAGCGAGTATCGGCAGCTGGCAGCACACCAGCCGCGGGGCGTTCCGAGGCCTCCAACCCTGATCCTTTTGCGCTGCACACCGGAGGAGTGGGAATTGCCTCGAAATATGCCCCACCCTATTCCGAAGCGGCGCCTGGGCCAACGCAGCCACTCTCGACTCTCTGCTGGCTCAGCCACATTGCCCGCGCTCTGACACCGAGTGGCCGCACCCACAACCACCCATTTTGTTCGAGAGTGGACGGAAGCCCGATGGCGCCCCGTGGAAGCACACTCACACTCACAGTCACACTCACACTCACGCTCACGCTCACACTCGCGCCCGCTCTCACCCACTCACACCCAACTTCACCTCGCGATCCCACTCGGCCCTATCTGCCAGCTTCCGATTCACTCTGCCTCATCGCCATTGTCGCAAACCGCAATCCCGGCTCAGGCTTGCTCTCTTCCAGCTTTGTCCCTGCATTCGTCGCCGTCTTACGTCCGCATAGACGCTTCCTTCTCTCACCCATCTTCCAGCGCACACCCTCGAGGGCATCCGCGACCACGCGAGTGATTCCAGCCTCGATCACACCAAGGCGACCACAGCGTCTTCATACCTCTTCAACTCTCTTGACCCACGAATCTTCATTTCCGACAGCAGTCAGCTGCGCTCATCTTCGACAGTCATCCCTGTCGCGCACCATCGTACCGTCCTTCTCGACAACATCCTGCAGCGTTCCTCGCCTGCTCGCGACCAATACTTCGCATTTCCACTTGCGCCCTCCGGCTAGCGATTCTCTCTCACGCATAACCGACCACATCGTCGGCCCGCATCTCGCATCTCGTATCCGCGCTTCGTTGCCAGCATGTCCGACTCGGCCTCATCACAAGCGCCAAAGGCGCCCACCACACCCAACCGCCGTCCCGAGGTGTGCGGCCCACATGCCCCAGAGCGTCCCTATCCCATCTACCTCCGCGGCCAGGTCGAAAAGGGCTTTGGTCGTGGCTCCAAGGACCTCGGATGCCCAACAGGTACGTCAACTCCCTTCTACACCCGCCCGTCTTTGTCCACCCACAATGTACACAGCGAAGCTGACCGACGCTCTCTGCTTTCTTCCTCGTAGCCAACTTGCCGTCCAAGGTCGTCGGTCCAGGCTCTTCCCTCACCCGCACCGGCGTCTACTTTGGCTTCGCTCGCGTCCTGCCCCAAGATTCTGACGATCCTTCGCTCACCGACTCCGAGGACGTCGATATTCCTGGCTCGTCACACGCCCAAACAGCATCATCTAGCGCCGGTTACGACGACGACGACGACAACGAGGTGGTGCTCGGCGCCAGCCCCATCGGCGACATGGGCGAGGGCTTCCTCGACAGCGGTCTTGCCCGCCCTCGACAGAACAGCCGAGGCCAGCCCAGCCCGGCTTCCGTGCTCGGCGCCGCCACAACATCAGCAGACCCTCGCGCGGACAAGGAGGCAGAAGTCAGCCGCTCCGAAGTCAGCAACGGCGCCTCCAACGCTGCCCCAGCCGGTTCCTTCCACGGCGCAACCGCATCCACCTCTTCTTCGTCGAGCAGTCTCGCACGCAGGAGGAAGACCAAACGCGTCCATCTGCGTCCCGAGGATTCGCAGGTATTCCCCATGGTCATGAGCGTCGGCTGGAATCCCTTCTACAAGAACACGCACAAGACCGCCGAGGTCCACGTCCTGCACGAATTCGCCTCCGACTTTTACGGCCTCGAGATCCGCGTCGTCGTGCTCGGCTACGTGCGTCCAGAGTACAACTACGACTCGATGGATGCTCTTATCGAAGACATCGAGATGGACAAGAAGGTCACTGTCAACTCGCTCGCACGGCCGCTGTACCAGGACTACTCGCAAGACCCCTTCCTCGGCCGTTAGTCGACCTGCGTTGTCGATGGCCTCTTCAACCCTCTTTTGTTGTCTCCCCCCATTTGTATTGACTTTGCTGGGTCTGCTCGTCGCAGTGCAACATCATCAACTATCTTTGACTTGGGCCGTTGTGTGGGACCAAGCTCACAGACGACACGAGCGAGGATCAACAAGTGGCATTGGCGATGAGGCTTGAACGAGTGAACGAGTGTGGCACGATGATGCGACTATGCTCCAGGAAGGTCGATCACCTCTTGGACCGCATTGATCTGCTCGCGCGCGACGCGGATGGCGCGCTCGATAGTGCGCCAGAACCTCGACGACGGATCGATCGTACCGCCGTCGAACCGGAAGCCGCAGTCCGGACACACCTTGAACTGAGCGTTTTCTTGGTCGGCCGAGCCAAACTCGTCCAGCGATACCACTCGCAACAGGTGTGCGTTGGGACCGTAGTTCTTGAGGAGATTCTGGCTCAGAGCCATTCCACGCGTAGGCGGCCGAGGGGGTTCTTCCAGATCGCGAAAGACTTGAGGAACGTAGTTCAGCATCGGATCTAAGTCGAAGTCGTCGTCGCGTTCAGACGCTTCTGAACACTGCTCGTGCTGGTCCTCGTCGAGATCGTCGAGATCGTTGTCACTATCGTCTTCGGCGCTGTGCTCAGAGCCGGAGGAGGTATCGCTCGGGGTCTCCTTGTCGATGTACTTGGTGCCGTGCTCAAGCAGCGCGAGCGGCACTGTCAGGAGGTAGATCTCCCAGGCGTCGGTCCCACACAGGCCGCAGGTGGAACGATTCTCGAGTTTACCGTCCCACGAGACCAACAGATCGTTGACCTCGGCCATCCTCCAATGGTGGAGGAGGATGAGCCGCGCGGTAAGCTCGGCGCCCACGCGCGCCCGGTCGGCGTCAGTGAACTTGGACCAGTCGGCGCCCAGAGTGAGACGACTGCAGGCGCGGACAACTTCCGGCGTGCGGACGACCGCGCCCGCCTCGACCAGGTCGGCGAAAGCCGCGAAGGGGTTCCATCCGGGCACCTCCTTCGGATGGTCGAAGCAATTCATGAGGTCGGTGATGAAGAGCTCGAACACCCTCAGGAGGTGCTCATCGACCTCGGGAAGGTTTGCGACGATGCGATATTGATTGTACTGACGAAGAGCGCAACAAGCATGTCAGTCTCTGATGGCCCGAGAGCACTGAGCGGTGGTGTACTTACCAGAAGAACAAACTTCTCGGCCCTCCTGCGCAAAAAGAGCTTGCCGGTGCTCTTTGGCACATCGCTCGTATTTCGGAACTTGGGGTCGACGAAGTCCGCGAACTGCTTGTCTCGGACCTCGAGGCGCTTGACCGGGTCGAGAAGCCATGCGATGGTCTTCTCGAGCTCGGCGTGACGGCCGCCTCGTGAAGCCTCGGAGCGGGTATTGGCCTTTCGGGTGTGACGCTCACCGTCTGAACTTGCCGCAGCGGCGACGGCCTGACTGGCCACGCGCTGCAAGACGGCATCGTTATCGTCCTCTTCGTCAACGAGCTCGAGCTCG